CATCTTGTAAAGGTCTATTAAAGTTTTTCACAATACATATTGCTTCCAATAAAATGAAACACATTAGGAAAATATTCAAACCCTTAAATGTTCATGTTAATATTTAAAAAATGAGATTAAACTTTCCAAGAACCTTTACATTTTTTTAACTGCAAAAACCCTAGCATACACCAGAACTTCATTCTAAGTATAAGACTTTTGCCCAAAGCAAAAGCACTCAATATATTATTTTAATATTGAAAACCTCAAGTATGAGAAACCAAGCTGTGTGTGGAAAAAAAATAAATCATTTAGGTGAAAAGGTAACAAACATTCAATTGAAGGATAATGCAGCCCTGAGGGAAAATATGCATATGAATGAAGTTTATGAAATTGGTCCAATGCCTCTGTAAAGAAAAAATAATTAGTTTATCTTAAAGCTGCCTATAAAATGTTTTCAATATTGCTGTATGAATTATTTATAGAAAAATGTACATCTAACTTTAAAGCAACCACTTTACTGTAACATGTTGAGTGCTGTGGAAGAAACTAGCAATAAGAATATATTGTTCTATGTATGTAATATTTGGGAGACTCCTTTTAATTACGGGCTTTTCAAAAAAGTTCAGATTTATTATCAATGTGAATCAGTAATATTTCATTCAACTCCTTTTCAAATTTGAGAAGTTAAAATGACAGTGGGATATCAATTAAATTTTTGGATTTTACACAGAATGCTCATTCAAGTTGACAAATACATGAGGGTGTATTACTTTGAAGTCATGACTGCTAATGCAATGACTGAGCAAACATGTCTAAGCTTAAATAATTTAAAAATCTATTTTTAATGTTTTTGAAGTTAGTGCAGAGTTTTATTAGGGAAAAGATCTGCATTTGAAGTTTTCCCATAATGATATTCAATGTGTTACATAAAACGTTTAAATGGATTCATCAAGCCACATACGTTTACAGAATATTCCTTTTGACCAGTTTTCTGATTAGTACTTAAAGCAGCACAGACTCTAGGGGGAGCCCCATAGTGCTTGGATACTATACGTAAGCCTGTTGTTTTATGAACTTTTCTTCAGAGAATTATGATAGGAATACCTTGATCCCACGCCTCCCCAAAAACAGGGAAAATGAGAGTTAGTTATGTCCAGATTCAGGCAAATCACTATAAAGGAAAATCACTTAAAAAAGAAAGTGTCTTTAAGGAAATCAAAAAATACCTAGAAACAAATGACAATGAAAACACAACGACCCAAAACCTACCGGATGGAGCAAAAGCAGTTCTAAGAGGGAAGTTTATAGCAATACAACCCTACCTCAAGAAACATGAAACATCTCAAACAACCTAAACTTACACCTAAAGCAATTAGAGAAAGAAGTAAAACTAAAAACTGGTTCTTTGAGAAGATAAACAAAATTGATAAACCATTAGCCAGACTCATCAAGAAAAAAAGGGAGAAGACTCAAATCAATAGAATTAGAAATGAAAAGGGAGAAGTACAACTGACACTGTAGAAATACAAAGGATCACGATAGATTACTACAAGCAACTACACGCCAATAAAATGGACAACCTGGAAGAAACGGACAAATTCTTAGAAAAGCACAACCTTCCGAGACTGAACCAGGAAGAAATAGAACATTTAAACAGACCAATCACAAGCACTGAAATTGAGACTATGATTAAAAATCTTCCAACAAACAAAAGCCCAGGACCAGATGGCTTCACAGGCGAATTCTATCAAACATTTAGAGAAGGCCTAACACCTATCCTTCTCAAACTCTTCCAAAATATAGCAGAAGGAGGAACACTCCCAAACTCATTCTACGAGGCCATCATCACCCTGATACCAAAACCAGACAAAGATGTCACAAAGAAAACTACAGGCCAACATCACTGATGAACATAGGTGCAAAAATCCTCAACAAAATACTAGCAAACAGAATCCAACAGCACATTAAAAGGATCCTACACCATGATCAAGTGGGCTTTATCCCAAGAATGCAAGGATTCTTCAATATACGCAAATCAATCAATGTGATACACCATATTAACAAATTGAAGAATAAAAACCATATGATCATCTCAATAGATGCAGAAAAAGCTTTTGACAAAATTCAACACCATTTATGATAAAAACCCTGCAGAAAGTAGGCATAGAGGGAATTTACCTCAACATAATAAAGGCCATATATGACAAACCCACAGCCAGCATCATTCTCAACGGTGAAAACTGAAATGATTTCCTCTAAGATCAGGAAAAAGACAACGGTGTCCACTCTCACCACTATTATTTAACATAGTTTTGGAAGTTTTAGCCACAACAATCAGAGAGGAAAACGAAATAAAAGGAATCCAAGTCGGAAAAGAAGAAGTAAAACTGTCACTGTTTGCAAATGACATGACACAATACATAGAGAATCCTAAAAATGCTACCAGAAAACTACTAGAGCTAATCAATGAATTTGGTAAAGTAGCAGGATACAAAATTAATGCACAGAAATCTCTTGCATTCCTAGACACTAAAGATGAAAAATCTGAAACAGAAATTAAGGAAACACTCCCATTTGCCATTGCAACAAAAAGAATAAAATACCTAGGAATAAACCTACCTTAGGAGACAAACTACCTGTATGCAGAAAACTATAAGACACTGATGAAAGAAATTAAACACGACACAAACAGATGGAGAGATATACCATGTACTTGGATTGGAAGAATCAACATTGTGAAAATGACTCTACTACCCAAAACAATCTACAGATTCAATGCAATCCCTATCAAACTACCACTGACATTTTTCACAGAACTAGAACAAAAAATTTCACAATTTGTGTGGAAACACAAAAGACCCCAAATAGCCAAAGCAATCTTGAGAAAGAAAAATGTAGCTGGAGGAAGCAGATTCCCTGACTTCAGACTATACCACAAAGCTACAGTAATCAAGATAGTATGGTACTGGTACCCAAACAGAAATATAGATCAATGGAACAGGATAGAAAGCCCAGAGATAAACCCATGCATATATGGTCACCTTATCTTTGATAAAGGAGGCAAGAGTATACAATGGAGAAAAGACAGCCTCTTCAATAAGTGGTGCTGGGAAAACTGGACAGCTACATGTAAAAGAATGAAATTAGAACACTCCCTAACACCATATACAAAAATAAACTCAAAATCGATAAAGCCCTAAATGTAAGGCCAGGCACTATAAAACTCTTAGAGGAAAACATAGAACACTTTATTACATAAATCACAGCAAAATCCTTTTTCACCCACCTCCTAGAGTAATGGAAATAACAACAAAAATAAACAAATGGGACCTAATGAAACTTAAAAGCTTTTGCAAAGCAAAGGAAACCATAAACAAGATGAAAGGACAACCCTCAGAATGGGAGAAAATATTTGCAAATGAAGCAACTGACAAAGGATTAATCTCCAAAATTTATAAACAGCTCATGCAGCTCAATATCAAAAAAGCAAACAACCCAATCCAAAAATGGGAAGAAGACCTAAATAGACATTTCTCCAAAGAAGATATACAGATTGCCAACAAACACATGAAAGGATGCTCAACATCACTAATCAGAGAAATACAGATCAAAACTACAATAAGGTATCACCTCACACCAGTCAGAATGGCCATCATCAAAAGATCTACAAACAATAAATGCTGGAGAGGGTGTGGAGAAGAGGGAACCCTCTTGCACTGTTGGTGGGAATGTAAATTGATACAGCCACTATGAAGAACAGTATGGAGGTTACTTACAAAACTAAAAGTAGGACTACCATACAAACCAGCAATCCCACTACTGGGCATATACCCTGAGAAAACCATAATTCAAACATTCATGTACCACAATGTTCATTGCAGCTCTATTTACAATAGCCAGGACATGGAAGCAACCTAAGTGTCCACTGACAGATGAATGGATAAAGAAGATGTGGCACATATATATAATGGAATATAACTCGGCCATAGAAAGAGACGAAATTGAGTTATTTGTAGTGAGGTGGATGGACCTAGAGACTGTCATACAGAGTTAGTCTGACTGGCATACAGTAAGTCAGAAAGAGAAAAATAAATACTGTATGCTAACACATATATATGGAATCTAAAAAAAAAAAAAAAAAGGTTCTGAAGAACCTAGGGGCAGGACCGGAATAAAGATGCAGACGTAGAGAATGGACTTGAGGACCCGGGGAGGGGGAAGGGTAAGATGGGATGAAGTGAGAGAGCGGCATGGACATATACACACTACCAAATGTAAAATAGATAGCTAGTGGGAAGCAGCTGCATAGCACAGGGAGATCAGCTTGGTGCTTTGTGACCACCTAGAGGGATAGGGAGGGTGGGAGGGAGATGCAAGAGGGAGGAGGTATGGGGATATATGTATATGTATAGCTGATTCACTTTGTTATAAAGCAGAAACTAACACACCATTGTAAAGCAATTATACTCCAATAAAGATGTTTAAAAAACCCCATAAAAACGCCATTCACTCAGGAAAAGAAAAAAGTCTCCTTAGAATATATCTCATTTTTAAAGCTAAAACAAGGTAGCCCAAGGGAAAATGTGTCTTGGCTGAGAAGCAGACACTTTAGGGCACCAATAACTGAGTAGTGGCTCCTTTGCTTTCTCTGTTCTCAGTCAGTGACGTGGTAAGTCATACTCTGATTGGCCTCTAGCTTAAAACTTGGGACTCTCCTAAAATAGTGTCATTTGACTGTACAGGAAGCAGAAACATAATAATAATAAATAACTTTAAAGGGCATTACCTAAATTTAATCTACCTTGAATTTCTAAAATTAATATGACAATTATCGATTTATGAACACTAGAGGGCAGTAAAACACTAGAAGGTATATTTAAATTACATATCTAAAAGTGGCAAACACAAGCCAGTACGTTTTTTTAACATCAAAATCATAATAATTTAATAAATTGATTCCTTTTTTGGTTGCTAAAGTACAAAGCATTCTTTCGTGTATCATTTTAGATATAACTTACTTTGCAAAATCCAAATAAGAAATGTGCCCATGATAAAACCCTGGTTTCATCTCTTTCCAGGAAGTTATATTCTTTACAAAGCGCACCTAAAAAAGGAGAACATACTCATTATTTAAGTACAATTTAAAGAAAATGAAGTTTGGTGACAGCAAAATACTTTTCATTTAGACATTCAAAAGCAATCACACCACTCTGACGATTACAGAGCTTGAAATACAGGCTTCAACTAAGGAAAGCATAGTGTGACCTGTAACTGCTAATTCATCATAGAGAAGCTACTGTCACCACCCTCAGAAAAGAGTGAAAGAGGATCCTGAAAACAAAACTGCACAAGGCAACCATTTACGACACAGTAGAGTGAGTACATTTATATGGGGAGGGGAAGGGAGGGGAGGGGAGGGGAGGGGAGGGTGGGTACCAACACCCAAGCTGAAGCAGGCGGCACTTCAGTATGGGGATCGTCTATGCAAATCTGTTTTCTTCTCAGAGACTTGTTATTCATAAAAATTCTCATTTATTAATGACTCAACAAATAACAAATATCAACGAATCCTTAATCCAAATGATTAAAGGAAGGATGAGAAACAGAAGACTTTAAAGAGCTAAGAGCAGATATCATAAGCTTGAGCAGATATCATTAACTTGTTGACAAAAAAGCTTAATAACATTAGAGGTGTGATACACATAAAATTTTTAAGATATCTAAATATTACTATTTTAATCTATTGGAATTAAAAGTGTACAAAAGATTAGTTAATATAAAAATTATTTAACTGTAAATATATTATTAAAATGTTAAAAACTGGTTAATATAGAACTTTATAAACCAGCTGCAAGGCAGTGATACATAATCTCTCAAAGAGAAATGGTATAAATTTCTAATAAGAAAATCTCTGCATGATCAACAGTAGGTGGTTGAAAATCTCTTCTGGAGACGAGAGACAGGGTGGGGATGGGTGAGGGGTTGGGGGCCCAGTGCCCCCTGCTGCACTGAAAGCATCTTCAAGCTGTGACCTCAGCCTCTAACACACAGGACTGTCAATCACATACTTTTGACAATTTATCAATCTTTCATTTACATTTTAGAATAGAGTTAGTCACATGGAGATATTCTGGCACACTTCTTACCAGCTCAGTCAATAAGTTAATAGCCAGGAATGATGGCTACCTCCTGGATAAGGCCCATTGGTAAGGACAGAGTAGGGAAACAGTGCAGAAGCAACCTTAGGTCGAAGGATGTGAACTAAGGAAAAATGGAAGATTCTGAAAGTAGAATTTATTTTTTAGGGGAAGCATCAATAACTCATATACTAAGAGAAATAATGGGAGTTTTTAGAAGGGAAATGAAATGAACCTTATGTTATTATCTTACACACACACATCCTTAACATCTGAAGATTGGATGTAGGTAACAAAATTATTTTGCATTAGAGAATACACAATTATAGTTTTGCAGACAGATATTTGCAGTTTTTCCCCACCGAAACAGAAGAGCCAAACAAATGTGTGATTTGAGATTACCAGGTTCTTTCCTATTTCTTCTTCAAGTAAGGCATCAAATAGAATAAAAATATCAAGTGACAAGTGAAAAAGAAACAGAAAATAAAAAATTACGTAACCCATAAACTGAATCCTTAAAAAAATTTACATGTTGAATATGAATAATCCTTATGATTTTCACTTAATGGTAAATTAAACAAGCTTTTGATGCTATGAAAATCAGTTTCAGTATTTCAGCACCAAATGAGGGAGAAATAGAAGGCAAAGAGAATAGGAATGGTAGGTGATGGTTCAAGGGTGCTTAAGACATATCTACAACTCAGCTCTATTTTCCAGAAGCTGATTTAATATGGATGTGATGGTGTAAGAGGGAAATGAAAGGAGATGCCAGATTGAAGTCTGACAAAACTGTGCTATATAAGCCAAATGTTAGAGGATCATAGTACACTGTGATGAAAGACTTAGGTGTAAACTTCAAGTATCCTTTTTTCCTCCACCCTTCCAAAGAACAGTCAAGATCAAACTAAATCCTCCTAAAGACACACTTCATCTGCCATGTGTCCTTCGATGTGAGGTGAAGAGCCCAGGAAGCTGGATGAGATCTGGACTGCTGCCGGGCTTCCCAAACTCAACGTGCAAATGAATCATCTGGGACTCTTGTTAAAACACAGATTCTGATTCAGAAGGTCTGGAGTGGGGCCCAAGTTTCTGGACTTCTAACAAGTTTCCACGTGATGGCCAGGTCAATGGGCCACACCAAGGAACACGACTTTAGCGTGTGTGGGCCCAGGACCTAGCTCTTGATTTTATCAACGTGAAGCTTGTTTCCGCAGCACCTGCAAAGGAGGCCTGAGGTCTACAGAAGCTCTTTAGCAAGGATATATTCTCATAGTCACTGCTTTTGTGATATGGAAAAAAGTATACTGAAATAGAACAATTTTTTAAAGAATATCTTATAAGCTACCACAATATATAAAAAAGAATGGGGGATGGGAGCAGAATGACCCTGGTACTCAGTCTTCTCCATCTACCCACACACAGTGATGCCGGAAGCACGTCAGAACCAAAGCATGCCAAGAAACACAGTATAAAAAGTAACAAAATAAGTAAAAGGGTTATGCCTCCAGGTGGACTCAGGGAACAGAACAGAACAAGGCATGAATCTTCTACTGCTGTCACCAAACTCAAACTCTCTTGTTTATAGAATCAGCATTTTAGAGGTGAAAGGGCCAAGGATATCCTGTACTCGTTATTTTACAGATAAAGAAACTGAAGCCCAAGAACCGTATACCTCAGATTTTGGTCCAATCATCCTTCTATACCACTGGCTAATTTCTTTAATCTATTATTGTCCAATTTAAACAAGGGAGGGGGGAGCCAGAAGGATTTGAAAGAAGAGCAGACAGATACCGTTTGTACTATAATTCTGATCAACAAACTTGGACACTGAGAGTTTCAGGCTTTATGCACTGCTCAGGAAAACCCCTGAGATCCAGTCATTCAAAACTCCTCAACCTCTAAGATCTCAAAGCTCTGTTGATATATCTCTCTCAATTGTTTATTTTCCTCATTACATTCATTATAATCTCAACTTCCAATCCGCCCTGCTCACTACTCCCATATTGCTCATACTGAATAACCCTTTTTCAACAATGGCCGCTGACTTACTCTTGCCTTTTTATTATCTTGGGTAACCTCAGGGGTTGAACACTGCTGGTCAAAACTAAGAGACCCAGACTAAATGCCTCTGTAGGACTTTGAATTTTATTTTACTAGATTAATTCTGACATAAATTCAGGTGGGTTATTATTGCGTTTAAATTCTCTACACTATATTATTGCTAAGTCTCCAAAACCCACAGAATCTTTCTCTAATCTCCAGCTAAGAGAATACTGAAGGCTACGTACTTAATGTATATGTATATGTATGTTTTTTCTTTCATCTCATCAACATTTAACTCAGGCAATCTGCTGAAGTCTCATTAATAAAGCTGTGGCTGATTTACAATTTGCAATAAATCAAAAGATGCTGAGCTGAGATTTACTTCACAGGAAAGAAAAAAGTGCTAAGCAAACAAATGTTGTCAATAAGGTTAAAGTGGTGGTTCACACGAATCTGGACAATGGTCTGAGCATTTAGAAGTGTCACATACAACTGAAATTCTACACCATCCTAATCTCCTCTTCAAAAGTGATCTGCAAGGACATAACGATCTAATTAATCCTCTTTGAAGAACAGTATTTTTTTAACATTTTCCTTTCAAAGTATTAATTTAGCCACTTCTCCTTTTAGCCATGTTTAATATCTATCCTCTTAGTTCTCCAGAGTTTTCCCTACCCTCCTCTCTCTTCATCTTCACTTGTTCCCTTTCACCAGTCTAGCTGCAGCTCCTGCCCTGTCATTTTCTGCCTTCTCGCCTCTTCTGTACCACTTGTCTCTCCGTGTTTCTTCTGGTTTTCCTCTACAGTGGCGCATTCTGCCCAAGACCTTGAGATAAAGCTCTGGAATAGAGAGGAGTAGGGGAAAATGCAGGTCAGGTGAGCAAGCTTTTACTCAGTTCATTTTATAGATTCTTACTGACTATGATACTTGGCACTAATGAACGATAAAGTGAGAGGCAAAAAGGAACAAAGCTAGTAGTATCAAATGAGGTTGAGTCTGAAGACACCGAAAACTCTTGGGGAAAAGAAATAAAGTCACCATAGTGACCTTATCCAAAGAGAATTTCCATACTCTGATTGCAAAAGGCTATCAAGAAGATGTTTCAGAAGTAGTAGTTAGATATAGTACAGGAAGAGAGATGTTTTTATGGCTAGCCTGGAGCAGATTCTAAACTGTGATTTTTGTCAGATTTTATAACTCAAGCAGAGTCAGGCTAGCAAGTAATCACAAGATGCCTTTAGGGAAAACACAAGCAACAACGTAGGGAGTGGTGTTGTGATTTATTTGCTAGTCGAACCAGACCTGAACCAGTGCTGTAAGAAAAGCTGAGAAAGCACCATTGCACTAACACTATCTAGACTTATATTCTTAATGAGATTAATCTCAACATTATGATTATCTGTGATCACAAAAGAACTTGTTTTCACTATCTAAGAGTAGGAATGTCATCCCGAACACCCTGGCCAAATTCCAACTTTGTAATTACTACCTATTGAGTGAACACTGCTATTAACTTGGGTAATTATACATACCAACCTCCTACTCATGCATATACTTAAAGTAAACATTCATTGTACAGCTGTGGGTAGTTTTATGAGACTACATTAGACAGAAAGTTTTCTACACAAAGAGAAAAACTGAGGAATGGTTGGATAAAATATAAGAAAGGTTCAGCAGCAATAGAACATAATATACTATCTTCACTGAAATTCAGAACTGTGTTGTTCAATCACTTTTTTTTTTGTGTGGGAGGGGGCGTATGTGTCCCAAATCACCTGAGGTAAGGAGAGGTCATGCTCATACTGCTATCAATCAGAGGGGCTACCTCTGCCAGCAGTTATCATCACGGCATCATGCTCAGCTAAGAACTGCCTTCAGAATCTAAATGGGTTCATTTGTTCATTCATTCATTCAACAAAAAATTTATGTATCTACTATGTCTCAGGCACGGTTCTAAGCACAGGGATACAAGGTGAACAAGGCAAGGTTCCTGCCCTTAAGGAGCTTAAATTATAATAGAGAAAAAGACAGTAAACAAATAAATCAATAAGTAATAGGAAAGATATTGAAAGAATGATGGTACACAGTACGTTGGAAGAGGTATTTAATATATAGGATGGCCAAGTAAGGTTTTGCTATGAAGAGGTCATTAAGCTGAAACCTTAAATGGATAACACGAAGCCAATTGTGAGAAGCCAGAAGTGCGTTCTAAGAGGAAATAAGTATAGTGGCCTTGAAGCAGGAAAGGCTTGGTGCATTCAGAGAACCAAAAGGCCAGTGTGGCTAGTAAATGAGAGGTTGAAGCGAGGAACCATGGACAAGGGCTTGATTAAGAAGGACCTGTTGGCCTAGATAAGGAATTTGGATTTTCTTGTGGAGGTAGGAATACGAATCTAAAGATAAGTAACTCACCATCCTGTGAAGATTATAATATGCATCTTCCCATCACTTCACTGAGAATCCTATTCTAGATCTTTGCTACTCAAACTTTGGTTCAAGGACCAGAAGCATCAGTTTCGGCATTAACAGGAAGCCTTTTAGAGATTCAGAATATCAGGCTTTATCTTAGTCCTTCTGAATAGGAATCTGTATTTTAACTGGTGTTCAGTATACACATTATAGGTTGAGAGGCATTCATCTAAAGAGTTGTTCTGAAAAATCAGTATCTGCAACTAATATCAAACCATATGCGCTACTGCAAATGACCAGAAGTTGGTTTAACAGTAAGTTAAAAAGAAAAAAAAAATTACTACACTGTTCTACAGAGAATGCAAATTCTGGATACTTCCAGTTTCTTAGAAAGATCTTAAATATGATCAGACCTAAATATGTGAGAGCAGAAAAGAATTAAGAAAGATCATAAAAGATGCTGCCACTTCACCTATTTGGCATAGTTACTTTAAAGACAAGATGTTCTGTATTACAGAGATATTTTGTGATAGCAGAGTAAACTTCATTTTCCAACTAGAAGAGCTGATTACCTGTCTCCTGCCAATTCCTGTCTATTAACGGAGTAAAGCCCAAATCTCAAAAATATAACTTTCATGACTGAGTCCACCTCATTCTTATCACTTAGTCTTCTCATGCCTTATATTCTCAAATGTTTATCTTCTAATCTCCTTGTTCTAACTGTTCCTCAAACTTCTTAATTTTGAAAAATTCCTAAACTACGGAAAAGTTGAAAGAATAGTGGTCAACATCTGTACACTCTTCACCAAGGGTAACTGTTAACGTTTTGTCACTTCTGTTTATCTTCTTCTTTCCCCCTTTTTCTCTGTGCACACGCACACTTATTTGTTTCTGAATCGAAGTAGCAGACGTTTTTGATCAAGGATCCAATCATGGGTCACAAAATACATTTGGTTTTCATGTCTCTTTAGTCTCCTCTAGTCCATCTCCCCCCACCCCTTTTTTTTGGTTGTCATAACATTGACACTTTAGATGAGTTCAGGACAGTTGTTCTAGAGAATGTTCTACAATATGGATTTGCCTGTTTTCTCAAGATGAGGTCCAGGTTAAACATTTTGGTGAGAACACCATAAACTGATGTTGTCTTTGAATAGTCCTCATAGTTCCTGCGATTATGTTTTACATTCCGTAGTAAATTATAAATAATCTCCTTGAAAGACACAGCCTTGCTTTTTATTTCTTTGGTAATTCCTCAAAGAATGTAGAATAATCTCTGTATACATTACATACGCAATAAATAAATGAAAACTTGCAAGCAGAGTTGAGAACTGTTTCTAAGAATACCCATAACTGTTACACATTGAATACTTTTATACCACACTAGAAACATTTGGGCTTTGCCTCTAAAATTTTTGTGAGAAATAATTAAGCATGTAAACAGTTTAGCACAGTCCCCAGTACAAAATACATCTAGGAAAGAGCTGGGGCTAAAGGCAGATAGATATTAAGCAGACTGGACTGCTGAGGCTGGAAGGTGAAGGAATAAAGGGTGTAACCACCTATTACATCCCAAAATATTTTTATGAGTAAACTGGGCTTTAAATGGAAGAATGGGACAACAGCAGATTTAATAAAAATCTCATCTTTTAAGTCTCACTTGAGTTAGACACTGATTAGAAACTATTTCTCAGAGAAGAAAGAAGAGCAAAATAGGTCATTTATTAATTCCTATATAAATAATAGGGCAGTTGAGAACAGTTCACAAGGACAATAAAAATATGGTATTAAAATCAAGTGTGTTATACAAGATGGGGTTCAGGGGATATTTTTTAAATTATTTTCAAGGCATCTAGTAATTCAAAACTTCACATCTAAATGAAGCTTACTAGAGTGAAAGTGAAATTAAAACACTATCTAATATGTCATGCAAAGGGAAGGGAAGCGATACCTATGACTTGTTTGAAGAACTGCTTCTACACAGAACAAGACACCAGTAAGTAATTTAGATATGGTATATTAGAGAACATTTGGTATATAAGCTATTCCTAATTAAGACCAGGTGTTAAACTACCAGCTGACATTTTGAAGTATGCCAGCTAGTGATTAAGACTATTCTTCTACTCCGCCCAAACATGTTTTAAGTGTTGTTCATTATGTAATCCAGTTGCCTTTAAGACAGTGTTTACGCTTCTCTTTTGCTGCATATATTTACACACACACACACACACACACAAACACACACGACAAGCTATTGAAAGAAACACAGAAGTTTTATCTCATCCAAATGCAACCGGGGAAATGTACCACTACATGATGCCTATAAATGTCTTATGTGGTGAGCTTCTGTAGATTTATATTTCATGAGGAAAAAAAAAAAAAGGTCAACGTCATTTTCAGAAATCTCATAGCTGCCAGACAACTTTGTAATGCTGGACAGAAAATCTGGACACAAATTCTAAAAATCTGAACAAACAAGCTGACTTTATTTTTCTAAACAATACTACTGAAGAAATCTAAAATTATTATGTGAGTGCTAAGAAATGTTCCTTTTAAACCAAGATATATTCTGAAAAGCAATCATGCAAATACACTTAAAATCTACTACACACTGTATAAAACCTGATGATTTAAGATACTTGCCCTTGAGATATACAATATTACATAATGAATAGTTTTTATGACCCACTTAGCTAAATAAGCTCATGTTTCTTCTCATTTACAGAAGAGTTATTTGATTTGGCTGATGAATGTAGATTTTTGGTTTTATAAAAAAAGAGTAATTAGGGATAATTCAGAGAGCCAAGAATTACATGGGCAGATGATATGCCATATACAATTAGCCTTTACAAATAGCCCTCTAGCAAGAAAGTGATCCTAACCTTGTGTATCAATGTTATTCTCTTGTTTCAGTGTGAGGATTATAGGTATGCTAAATTGTGGGATAACAATCAATTCTGTGACAGTAAAACAGGTTCAGCTATCTTCAGTCAAACAGATAAACACATTCTAACTATATGACTATCACAAATACCTTTCTAATAAGTTACCTCAATAAGGTATTTGATCCTACATAGTATTTTCAAATATTATCTTTTCGTCTCATGGGGCCCAATTCCCATTCCCTTCAGTATTTGTAGAGAGAACTTTATAATTATAGTCAGAACTCCAGGTGTGAAGAAAATATCTGAAACTATTGCTAAAGAGGGGAGTCAATTTCATTTCATGATAACTTGCTCCACTTTTCTTAAAACCATTTCATAAAATTATCTATCTACCTGTTTATCTAAAGATTCTTAACAACCTGAAAGGCAAGATTATGTTAAAATTATAAGCCGCAATCCCTGTTTGTCAGGAGTTTATAGCTAATACTTACAAAAATTATAGTAAAGATAAGATGAAATGCAGGAGTCTAGTCACAAAACTGAACCATACAGAATATAGGTATTCATCAAATAAAGATTTCTCAATCATAAGTGGAGACAATATAATTATTTTTATTGCAGGGCATCTGCTAAAAATATTTCACATTTTTAAAAGGATACCATACTGAAGAGCATCAATATTCTCTTCAAAAATTCAAGAATGTGAAGAATGTAAAATTATAGGTAAGTTCGGTTGGTCCTTTCCCCCAAGAAACTTACAATCCACGGGGCTCAGCATATATATCCCTTAAAATGCTTTATCTCCTTGAGATACAAAATTTGAGTTAGGAAGTGTCAGAAAACATTATGCATCCCCTACGTGGTATTTACCTGATCTTGCAGTGACATTACTGGATTATTTTTGGTAGTGTTGATGTGAAGAACATGGTATTTATTCTTTGCACATAGGTCATAGGCAATATTGGTAAAAGAGGTGCTTGCAGTTTTGGGGACTCTGTTATAAATGATCACCATGTCTTCTTCCTCATCTAAAGCTGCATCTTGCCGAGGGCCATCCATCGTATGTCGCTGCTCAATCTCTCGAACTTCATGTCTTGCAATAGCCCTTTCTGCAAAGAAAAACAGATTATGAACTTAGTATTAAAAGACACTATAAGGGGGCTTCCCTGGTGGCGCAGTGGTTGAGAGCCCGCCTGCCGATGCAGGGGACGCGGGTTCGTGCCCCGGTCCGGGAGGATCCCACGTGCCGCGGAGCGGCTGGCCCCTTGGCCCGTGGCCGCTGAGCCTGTGCGTCTGGAGCCTGTGCTCCGCAATGGGAGGGGCCACAGCGGTGAGAGGCCTGCGTACCGCAAAAACAAACAAACAAAAAAAGACACTATAAGGAAGTTGTAAACACTGAAAATAATTTCCTAGTCCTGGGACATAGTTTTCCTATTCAAGAACTGGGTTAAGAGCAGCTGAAAAAATGTTTTGAGGGCCAAAAGTTCAGAATTACCTCTGAAGGATAATACATATGCATAGGAAGAATGAAAGAATAAAGTCATCAAGTTTAGAACTCCACAGACCAGAGAGTTCTTCAGTGTAGTTCAAAAGACACTTTTCATTCCAATAGAATTTCTACAGCCTGAACTAAGTTTCAAACACATAAAGACAGACTGAATAGAATACTAAACTTCACAGTAAAAAATACACTTAGAAAATAAATTACTTATAATTTAGGCAATGATTTTGAAATTTATTACTTAGGATGTAGTTATCGCCTGCTTTATCAAAATGTAGCAGGGCAGTGATTATAAATGAAACGACACCATAATAAAACCTTTTTCTTTTTGGTATTACATTACACATAAGTCCTGGTTATGTTTATTCCTTAAATTCCATGGTTCCTCTAATTCAAATCACTGTCCACCAAGCAGTTTGAAAAGCAGTAACATTTTGCTTTCGAAATCTTCAGCTTCAAATAAAGAAAGAAAAGGGGAAGAAATGAGGGGGAAAATATAACAAGATTGCAAGTTACTTTGCACAAAGACAACTGTTCACACACAGCATGCACCCTCCTACCACCAGATCTCTGTGCAAGCTATCTTACCTGCCTTGAACTCTCATCCATTCGCCCTCAACCTCGACCATACCTAGTGAACTCCTCAAACTTCACATTGAATTTAATCATCACTTGCAAGGGAAGCAACATCTAATCTCCCTAACTAGGTCAAATCACACACACACACACACACACACACACACACAAAGTATGTGTACATACCTCATACTGCACATCTCATACATAATTGCAATTTTACATTATATTTGTGTTAGCATCTACCTACCATACTGGCGACAATTTAGTAAAGTGACATGAAAAAGCAATGTGGTATAATTACAAGAACAAGTTCAGGCTTCAAATATTGTCTGACTACGCATATTAAATTTTGGTTCAGAAGATATGGCCACTATGTTAATACAGTATGCTCTGAGCTGAGGATTCACATTCAGAAGACTTGAATTAAAGTTTCAGGCCTGCTGCTTACTAGCAGTGTGCTTTCCAAAGCAGGAAGAGAAGCACATATATGCATACAAGTGTATCCATTTTCATGGGGGAGAGTTAGTTGGGAATGTGGAGAAAAAGAGATGAGCTTAATGTTGAACATACTGTCCGGGACACACAGGAGATAAAGATAATTGGGCTCATAGGTCAAGTGCTGAGAATAAAGGTTCATGCAGAAGAAAAACATCTGGAAAAACCATAGGAATGGATGAAACTACCTAGATAATGTAGAATACATAGCATGGAAAGAGACAGTAATCTTAGAACAGAATCTTAGGAAATACCAACATTTAAGGGCCAAGAAAAAAAAGACAATGCATAGAAAAACACTAAGAATAAATAGAAAGAAAAAGAAATCTGGACAGACTTTTAAGAAACATATACCACATGTTTAGAAAGCATAATATTTTTCAAACTGACAGTACTTTGCAAATGAATCTATAATCAAGGTAATGTATGATGCTCAAGCATCTCCATAGGATGTGGAAGCTGTCTCATTAAATTCAACATGTATTTATGGAGAGCCTAAGCATATTATATTCAATAATTTTAAAGGAATTTTATCTTCCAAACAACCTCAAACTATCACCACAGTCCAAAACTATTATGGTATTATTATGTCCACACACCCTCCTTTTTCTACTAAGGGAAATAAAACAGTACTGTTGTCATTTAAGGGCTGACAGAAGTGTGAGAGGTTTCCTACAGCAGGCCAGATATACATGAAATTACCTTTACTTTTAATGGCTACACCAACAACCAACAATGCTGAATTTACTTTCACTAGTTTTTCTGAAATCAAGCATTTGGAAAAGAAACAGATTTTGTTATTTTTTTAAAAGAAGTTATTATTTAGTCTATGGATTTTTTTATTTTTTAAGGTGCTAAAACTCTAGCTGGAGCATGAAACTAGCATGTTTTTAAAATTAATCATTGTTTTTGGTTCACTATGTGTATTAAAGCATATGAACTGTATATTTCACACAATTTTAAAACATCTCTTAAATTATGAAAAGATGCAAATTCAGGTAACTACTTTCCTCATTCAAATAATACATTTACATGCATTTTCTATTTTTCAAATGTTTTTACTTTGCTTAAGCAAACAAGATAATTACTAATGTAGTGTTATGCCTAAAACTACATAAAAAGATAAAAATAGTGTGGAATATTAAGATACTTTTTGCTAGTAATATTAGTCTATAAAATCAAATCTCACTTAGTTGAAAAATAACAGTAACTACTGGTGATGGTGAACTACTATCTCTTTTCTCCTGTGACAATACTTAAAACCAGTAAGGATGTTTGCAATATGGCCATTTTCTTTACTTAGTAAGTACTCAATAGTTCCTTTTTTTTTTTTTTTTTAATCAAAGAAGCTCTGCACCTAGTTAGTATAATTTCTGAGACTCTCTTAAATCAGTGGGGAAGCTTTATTAGTTACAGCACATTTGGAGTACACTTAGATAATGCAGGCAGCATATTTAAAATACTAAAGATGCATTTTGAAGTAATGCTTTTTTCATGTTTGAGTAGTGAATTATAGAGAATCTGCTATGCAAGTTATTTCAGAACTACCACAAAATGTACAGCCTGCAAATAACATGGAGTGCAATCTGAGTCACGATATTACAGGCAGGCCAAGCACAACTGGCACTAATATTCCAAACACTGAAGATGGACACTGAACTTCATGGCAATTCTAGTTCTTCTAGGCTCCTATTGAAGGTGGCATACATCTCAGTTCAGTGACCTTTCCACATGGCAGATTACCAACAAACACAAGTCTTTTAAAAGGCCATTCATAATAGCAATAATTACCTATTTCTGCATTGACAGGGCATTAAAGGCTTATTTATTGAAAGAACATAATGATCAAGCTAAGTATAAAGCACTGCATTAAATACACCAACCTAAGTCTTACAAAGGATTAAAGTCACAAGATGTAAATATTAGACTACAGAAAAAAGAAAAATAACTGGAGAAAAGATTTTTTTTTTAATTGCAACATATTCTTTGACTAGTTTTTTTTTTAACATTAAGGTCATTATTTGGGGAAACACCTTTTCTCTTTGAACATTTAAATAAATGTTCAACGTATTAAATAATTTAGAGAAATGTTTTGTATTCTGTACAAATTAAAGGACCCATGAATATAATCTTCTGCCCCCACCAAAGCTCAATTGTGCAATGGTCTCAGCAGAAAATAAACATTTTACAAATGTTCAAAATGTGTAGTATATCTGTATAGTGGGTAACATTTTAGGATTATAGGGATTTAAAAAAAAAAAACGCAAACGTAAAGACCAGTAAATTGCCTTGCTTTCAAATACTGAAACTTCTGCATGTTAAAGTAAAAAATATATAGTTAGATAATAGGTAAATAAATAATAAATAAAAGGCAAAGAACATTAAGAAAAAAAGACCAAATTTTTATTATCTATAATTATATAAAGAAAACATAGAAGTTGACAACAACAATATTAAGATTTCAGTAGATAATAAAGGTGGTTTGTAACAGATTTACACTACATACGTACAAAAGAACAGAGCAAAAATATTCATTAGTGGCTCATAATGATTATTTGGGTCACAGACCCCTTTGAGAATATTATGAAAACTATGGACCCTGTCTCCAGTACAGCTGACTTGTGCATTTCAGGGCTTCCTCTTAGAGCCCAAATACCAGCAGGGGGCTCCATGACCCCAGTTTAATTACTTCTAAAAAAGAAATGGCTCTTGGACAGTAAGGCCTGATAGTAAACTGCCTAGAGGCATTAGTATGTATATTGAAAAAAGAGGTTACTCACAAGTAAGAATTGCAGGCAAAGAGAAATCATCGAGGAAATTGGCAGCATCTACTGAAAAAATGTCTATGGGGAGGGTGCCTTGGCACAAAACTTGACCTGATAGGACTCCCTGGCAAGTGTGCCTATTGCAGAGCTAGATAATTTGGGCTCTAAGAGCTTGGAGCCATCAAATATCTGAATTAAAGTGGATCCTTAGCACTTTCTAGGGATAAATCCTGAGTTGTGTAAATCCCCAAATACTGTTCTGAAGTATAATTTATTCCCCATAAACTGTGTTTATAATGAGAAGTAGGAAGCAACAAAGTTGCACCAGAAGAAAGCTATTATAAGGTTAACTGATTCCTTTTGCAGGACCACTTACTGTGAATGTACTGTCTAGCCAGACACTATCTGATCCTCATGGAAGTAGCACTTTGTAATCATTATGAATTAAATAAATTGGTTGTCTGATTATATACATCACTTTTTTTTTTTTTTTTTTTTTTTTTTTTTTTTGCGGTACACGGGCCTCTCACTGTGTGGCCTCTCCTGTTGCGGAGCACAGGCTCCTCAGTGGCCATGGCTCACGGGCCGAGCCGCTCCGCGGCATGTGGGATCCTCCCGGACCTGGGCACGAACCCGTGTCCCCTGCATCGGCAGGCGGACTCTCAACCACTGCGCCACCAGGGAAGCCCCATCACTTTCTTATGAATATTTTTAGCCTGAGTCAGTCTCCTTGAAGTCAATTACCATGGGGACTAACAAAATAAATTTC